GTATTTTGTATTCTGATTTTATGAAAATATTCATAAAGGTGTAGAAAATATGGTAGAAATTATAATTTTATAACTGATAATGTGATAACAAAATATTTTATTGCGGCAGTATGAATATTCTTTATAATAATAAAATTTCAAAGTAACAAAAAACAATTCTTGTGTGACAGAATATATGTGACATTGAAATAAATAAAATGTTTTATGCTTGATAGATTCAAACAGTAAATCAATTTCTGTAAATATTTAATATAGATAGGTTACCAATCATTATCATCAGCAACATCGTCACTTTCATGCCTTAATGTAGAAAATAATACATCCCTGATTTTTGGCTTTGGATCTTTAGTAATTTTTGTTGGTACAGCTTTTGTTTGTCCTAATATCCATTCTAGTTCTGTAAGAACACATAGGCTTATATAAATGTCCATATGATTGAGACAAATTATCAGAATAAATTTTTTAATAAATATACCTTCTTCAGTTAATTTCATGCCTCTTAATTCTATTGCACCAATGATTTGTTTTACCATATTTCCATTGTGATAAATAAAAATTGTAGGAAGATTGCGATCAGGCCAATTTGGAATGCAAATAGTTGAAATGCTTTTTAAAAATTTTGTTGCGGGAAATTTTCTTGCTAAGTTGGCTAAATATTGATTTATTAGTGTACACAGGGGAATACTGAAACCATAATCATAATCACATAAGATCCCTTTTAGATTTAACATTTTTAAATATGTTTATCGTACCCAGGTTTATATAAATGAAGTATAACCCAAATATCATCTCCTGCATTGTTTACTTCTTGAACATAATCCTTTGCTAATATTTCTTTAACTTCACCATATTTAGATTTGCTAGCTAACTCTTTCATTTCTGCTATTCTCTTTCTCCGATATTCCAATAAAACTTTCTCGTCTTCTTCATCTTCCAATTCATCTAATTCATCTAGCGTCTTATTTTCTAAATCATTAGCAGCTGTAAAAGATAAAATTATACCTATATGAATATCCGTTTGAAATTATGTCAATATGAAATGAGTGGAATAAACATTCAAATACCACGCCCGGTTTTTTCATTTATAGTATTTTCCATAATATTGATGATTTGATCTTCTGTAACATCCTTTTCTTTCTTCGGTATAATTCCTTTTCTTCTGAGAATGTCATTCCACTCTGTATCTTCATTTGGATCTTCCTATGTCAATAAAATCATATATTATACGTTTCGTATGCCTAATTTAGATTGACTAATTTATATAATAAAAATTGACTTGACAAACAATATAAATATTTTTTATATTCTATTTTATATTTTGTTGTATCTAGACAGTTGCAAAAATATTTAATTATATTTTATTTTTATACTATAACACAAGACATCCCTTATTAGGAGCTGTAGATGTTCAAGCAAACATAACCTCTATTACTAAAAACTTTTCTTTACTCACCATCTTTTTCTTTTTCTTTTTTTAACTATTCTGTTTCTAAAAAAATTAATATACGCTATGGAAATTCACAGATTGATTTGATATTTTTAAATGAGAGAATTTTCTTCTGTCAGACTATTTATGACCGACAGTTGTACTCCTGCTCTTTGCTGCGTCATATACCTCGTTTGTGCTGCGTGCATTTATAGTATCATTAATGACGTATTCAGACTCGAAACATATTCTATTTAAAAACCATGCTATTAGTCAGTGGCGCCACTGATAACGATTAAAATTTCAAAATATACATTTTGATTTTTTACTATTGTCGCAAGTTATCATTTTATCTTGTTTTTATAAATTAATTTTTAGATAAATTATTTACAAATTGATCTATATATTTTTATCGTACCATGCGAAATATAGAAAAGTAGAATAGTGAAATAACAAAGGAAGGAAATTAAGATGAAAAAAAAAATAAATAAAACGCGTTCGTTCTTATAATTAATAATGATATTATAATCTTAATATTATTATGATTAATAATTATGAACAAACTCGATATATCGTCTTAATGCAATTAATATTTATACAAAGTACAATACTTATTGTTTATTTACGCTTGTACTCAATGACTATACACCCAGTCGACCGTAATTTGGAAAACCAGTTGATCGTGCAGCTGTGCTGGACCACAGCCATGTTTTGTATCCCGTACCAAATACCTAAAACCAGTTTGGGGCATCACCTCGATAATATTTATAGGTATATGGAATGATAATATCCGTAGGTAACGGTACAACTTTAGTATCAAGCTACACGCTTACACTTAGATTTATGCAGATTAAATCATCTCTCATTAACATTTTTCCCTCTTTTTTTCTATTATTTATTCACGTTAAATTTTACACAGAATTTCGCGGGGCTAGCTTAAGACCGATGAAGCCAGTCTCATTTAAATTTCAAATGTACGAAAAACGAAAAACAAGCGATCCCGTCTAAACACATCAATTTGATTGCTTTTATTTCAGTTCGAGGTAT